GGTTTAAGGCTTCGGGTCTAAAAGACACCCTGTTTAAGACGGTCAATAGTAAGATTATTACCGGCCCTGTTTAAGACTCAAGACCCTGAAAACCATACCCTGTTCAGCGGCACATACCCGTATACACCAAACAAGGGAGTGCCCCTCTGTCGAACCACCTCCAAAGTTAACGTTTAAAAAGGAAAAACTCTGGTTGTTTTTTCCCAGGGATATTGGGGACAGCGAGGCTCGAACGTCTAGCCTAGCTCCTGGGACGAGGTTGAACTTCTCATGGCCTGCAGTGCAGGCGTTTTCTTCGGGCGAGCGAATGTTTTGCTCGCGAAAGCGCCCTGTTGAAAGTCCAAAAGAGAAAAGGAAATGGGGCGAGTCAGAAGGAGCGGGACTCGGAAAGAGAAGAAAAAACGTTTTTTCTCATCTCCCCCTCCTCTTTCCTCCTTTCGCCCTAGAACCTACCCTAAGGGTAACTATTTTTACTCTCCCTAATCTTTCCCCGTCATGAAATCAAAGATGGCGGATACAACAATACGAACATAAACAGGAAGCTTTCGCCCGCTCAAAATACACCTGCACTACAGGGTAAACTTCTCAAGCCTCGTTTATTTCCGAGAAACGTTGTTACAGGTTGGGCAAGTCAACGTTTCATATATTTCCTTACAAAACGTGAGGAACCGTTTACATTGGCTTATCTGGAAGATCATGATTTTCATCGCAGGGAGCTAGGACTGTGTTCTCTTCATATAAACACTTTGGCTAGCCCAGTCGGGTCAACTTGGTCGGGAGTGGAAGCGGAATCATTTGAATCTTGATATTCATGATTCCTATCGTTTTTGCCTCAATGATTCACCATTCCTACAAGAATTTTCTTCCAGATTCATGATTCACAAAGACTTTTGATCACCTATTGTCTTTTGCGTTCAAATTTTTCTTTCATACAGACTCGGTATCATCATTCATTTTGTCTAGGTATGGAGTTCTTTTGAAACTAAATATTAAGCCGTACTAGATTTTGTAACAGGTTACTGGCCATGGAGAAGCAAGCGGATTGTCAGCCCCGAATGCACGAATTATATACGGGAGTCCGGGGGCATACTTCCCCGGAAAAAATTTTTTGAAAGATAGACTCTCGGAAACGCCATATCCTGCATTCCCTGGATCGAACGCAACTAATTTATGTCTGTATTTTGTTGGGCTTTTCTCAGAGTCCCGTTTAGTCATGATTCCCAAAGTACAAAGATTCATTATTCTTGCATGTTTTGTAACTATGATCTATGATTCATGATTCCCCTTCCACTCCCGAAACTTGGTCAGAACGAAACAATTATGGCGTGCGTGAGGACTGTTTTTGGCAGTTAGTACGTACGTGCGTGAGCACCTTTGTCTCGGATTAAGGGTTGACAGTTTTCTTATAATAACGCCCCCTAAGTAAAGTTGACTCGGCTTTGAGGGTGACCCTTCTACCCGTTGTACCCGTAGAGGTATTATTTTTCCCATTGGGATAAGAAACTGGGCCTTCATAGATAACAAAAAGTTAAGCAACTCTTAGAGGTTCTGCCTCAAAGGGGTTACCCGTTATATACGCATGTGCGCACGTGCAGAATCGGAAATAAGCGATAGCTAACAAAAAAGTCATAATAGCTATAGCCTTCCGTTTCCCGCTCTAACTTTCGCGCAAAAACTCGATTGGAAGCGCTTCAATACGCAGGCTATAATAGCAAAATTCATTAAAGGTTGGGAGTGTTTTCACATGACGTCACGGCGGTGTTCCAAAACAATGAAACGGCGGCCATGTTGGTGTCCAAACAGGTCCTGTGGGATTTGAACTCTTTTCTTAAGCAAACACTTTCTTTTGTTCCAATAAATTTGCATAGATGCTGGCCACGTGAGTGAAAACACTCTATTTCAAACAAATCGGTAATGCGCCGTGATTTACGGTCCTCTTGTCCTTGTCACGCCACGTGTAGTTGCGTGACCAGATAGTGGTGAGACTTTTGGTGCTGAGTTACATGACACCCCCAACTCACACAGTCACTACGATCAATGCATTTGTACTGTGCTGCCTATTGCAGGTAAGTCTTTTAAATTTAACGCTGAAAAAATGCAAGCATTCCAGGGTATTAGTAACTGATTGTGACCCTAAGTGTAGTAAAAGCACTGTAGTGGTGCTTTCATTGCGTTATTGGTAGCAGAAAAAAAAAACATATAGAGCCTATCGAGGCCGCTCAGTCAGCTGGTATAAACACAAGTTTAAACAGTATGGACTTTAGGAGATTTTGTTTTACTGCCACCCTGTTCTTATAACAGTCTCCCATAGGATTTACTGGTTCATCCCATTTCGGTGTATCGTAAAGTGTAGTGAGTAGGTTTTAGCACTTTTTAATCTTACAAACCCAACAAATGTAATCGGCTCATTTCACGATATTGTGTGGTGTTTTGAACAGTGCGGTCAGTATAAAGGGTGGAATGGGGACTGCGGACCACGGACTGTGGACTGGGTATAAAGGTTTAAAATGCCGACTACGGACTAGTTTGGTAAAAACTGTGCTAATTGATTCCAGGTTATGTAAAATAAGATTAAAAGATCGCTAAATAGCATAACATGTGAGTTTGAATTATAAATACAGTTGACTCCCGATAATTGAGTTAATTTAAAGCCCACTGATCATTCGTTTTCTCTGCAAATTCCGAGTGTTGATATTGTTTCTAACGTTTTGTCGAAAATTGATGAAAAGAAAGCCATCGGTCTTGATAGGATTCCGAGTAAATTGTTGAAAATGGCTGCTAATATCGTCGCACCCTCTCTTACCTCAATATTCTCAAAGTCTATTCTCACTGGGATATATCCAAACGATTGGAAAATAGCCAAAGTGACTCCACTTTTTAAAAAGGGCATTAAATCGACCCTAACAACTACAGGCCAATATCTGTAACCCCCATAATTTTGAAAGTTTTTGAAAGAATTGTTTATAATCAACTTTTCCATTATCTAGATGATAATAAATTGCTACTAGGTTGCCAATCAGGGTTCCGTTCTCTACATAGTACGCTCACAGCTTTGCTTGAGGCAACAAATGCTTGGTCATTAAACATCGACAATGGCCTTCTAAACTATCATCTGCTCGTACCCTCAGCTGTGGCGTGCCGCAGGGTAGCATATTGGGTCCTTTGCTATTTTTAATTTACCTTAATGATCTTCCCAACTCCCTGCAGAGCGCTGTACCAAGAATGTTTGCTGATGATACCAACCTTACATTATCTGCTAAGACGTTAACAGAGCCTAAGCTAGCTCTAACCCCTGAATTAAACAACCTTAGCTGTTGGCTAAAAGCTAACAAGCTCAGTCTTAATGTTGCTAAAAAAAAGAGCTAATGATTATTGGATCAAGACAAAGACTATCTGCCCAATGTGACGATGTAGAAATCAGAATTGATGACCAAATTATCAAGAGAGTTGATCATACCAAATCCTTGGGTCTTACCATAGATGCTCAACTCTCTTGGGGTAAACATGTTGAAGAAATTTGCAAGAAAGTCTCTTCCGCTATAGGCGCCCTAAAACGTGTGCGGCCCTTTATATCTAAAGAAACTGCAATTCAAATTTATAACGCTTTAATTATGCCTCATTTTGATTACTGCAGCCCCATCTGGGACTGTTTGAGTGGTTACTTGAGTGATAAGCTCCAAAAATCACAGAATCGTGCAGCCAGAGTTATTACTAAATCACTCTTTGATGCGAGCTCAAACCAACTTCTCTCCACCCTCAGCTGGGAGAGGCCATCTCTTCGACGAAAGAAACAAAAAGCCTTAATGATGTATAAAACCATGAATGACCTTGCTCCGGAATATCTACAAAGTCTTTTCTCTCAGCGTCACTCTGCTTACAACTTAAGAAACTCTGAGGGAAGGCTGACCCTGTCCAAACCAAGCACCAATTATTTGAAACGAAGCTTCTCTTACAGCGGGGCCATGTTATGGAATAACTCGCCCAAAAACTTAAAAATGCTGCATCCGTTGAGCATTTTAAGCGAAATATCAAGAAGGTAGCTGATATATCGGATTCCCACACGGCAATCATGTAAAGCAGTTGTAATTAGTTTTAGTTTCTAACTTAAGCTTAACTGATGATTTCCCATGTTTAAATAAAGATTTACAATTGATCAGTCAATTCCAGCTGCACCCAGCCCCCCTGGGCTATTGCGGGGCATTCACCTGCCTTGTCAGTCCCGGGGGTGGGGCACTGAAAATTTTGTGCTACCCGGGGACTGGGCATTTTCCAACCCCGGGGCCATTCCCGGGCTGGGCGCAGCTGGAATTGACTGATGCATAATCATTAATGCTAACCTTCGCTAACTCGAACCTCGAACTCGAACCAAAATCGCTTTCCCCTGGATTTCCGTCATACATTTACTGTAATTTTACCCTTGGTAACTCGAACTTCCCGCTAACTCAAAGTAGTTTTTGTTTCCCCACAGATCATTTCTATATAATTTTCCCCTCAATAACTTGAACCATGTTTTGAGCCCTTAAAAGTTGGGGAAAAACAGTATACTGGCATCCCAAACATTGAGTTTTGAATTTCTCATAATTTGACATGTTGTAGGAGTATAGTTTACCATTGGAGGCTGATATTGTTTGTCACAAAAATTAATCTAACGTGAAACAGCTTTACTTCTCAAGACAGTAAAATGCATGCTCTATTTAGACAATGTTTTGTTACCTTACGTTCTGATGTATAATCTAGAAGTACATGTATCTTTTAATTTGCACTTGACATTTCTGCAATTAAATGTGATTAAAGTGTTCACTGTGCAGTAAAAACAGTTCTTTTCCTTACTCCCCGCTATTTTTTTTCGAGCTTGCGATAACTTGAACCTTTTTCAATTTCCCTTGAAGGTTTGAGTTATCGGGAGTTGACTGTACTCCCAGAAATATTTGGTGGAGTTGTGCTGCCCAGTTCTCCAAATCCTGAGCCTAACCAAAATGCTTTTTTCTACACCCATTTTTAGTACTCAGACTCTAACATCCATGACAAGGGTCACAAACCCGATGTACATGTTTACATTGGTGTAAATCATGTCATCATCACTTCGAATATAACTCGGATGAGATATTTTGGTTATTATTCATGTACAGGTGAGTAATCCCTTGCCGCTAAATACAGTTTTTTTGCATCACAGAATGCCCCTTTATTGACCTTTTTGTCTTGGTTCTTTGTTTCCTCAAATGCCCAAGGCTTTAAAATAGTGTAAAGCTTGTTCTCTCAATTTCATATCTTCTGTAAATTGAGTTCTCTTCGTACTCCTCCTTTTTTGTAAGATTCAGAGTTTCATTTTCAGTTGCCTTGATTAGCAGCATAACCTTCCTTTCCCTTACATGTATGTAAAAAGTATTAAGAATGACAAGAATTAATAAAGGAAGTAATTTTAAACTTTGGACATAGCTAGGCCGTGGGTTAAGAAATCATTGGACTACCTCCAGATCTCTTTAATATCCAAGTGGGTTATTTTAAGAAAGTAAGTGCTTTTCCAGTCTATGCTAGATATGCCTTTAATATTGAAACTGTTCAAGATAAAAGTTGTTTAGACAACAACTTTTATGCAGTAAAAACAGTTTTTTTCCTTACTCCCGGCTATTTTTTTCAAGCTCTTGATAACTTGAACCTTTTTTGTTGGCATTGGCCAAACTGAAAATTGCTTTGAATGCAGTTTTGTGAAACATGGGTAAACTCTGTTTATATAACTGACCCGAAAAGTTTAGGGGAAATTCTTCATGCTATGACATAGGGCATTGTATATTTTTATTTCTATTTTCTCTGAAGGTGACTTGTAGCTAAAAACTGTATCAAAGAAAGGAAGGAAAAGAATGTCAGCTGCAGGCCCTTTTCCTAGAAAGAAAAAGGCAGTGAAACACAGACTTAAATCTAGTAAACCTGAATTTGAGCATGAGGAGTATGAAGCTGCTTCCAAGGCCAATCCAGAGCAGGTATTACTTGTTTATAGTAACTTCTCTTCATTGATTATTAAATGAGTGAATCCACTAGTAGGAAAGTTAAAGTAATTCGTTTGTTCTGATTGGCTACTCAGGAGCAGGAATCATGGCCTATCTTTTTCTGTGTTGGTTCCAAATGGAAAAGTTCTCTTCTTGGTCATATAATAAAGTGTTATTTACCAAGCTTGTTCAGTCAAGATTTAAGGATATTGGTTTGGTTTTGTTTTGTTTGTCTGTTTGTTATTTTTTGCATTTTTACTGTCTTAGACTTCGCTGGTTATTAAAATGATAAAAATAACTTTCAATGAATGAAAACCTTTACTATGAGTTGGGCTTAACAATAAGACAAAATCTAACTTTTTTTTCTTTCTTTTTTTTTGTGATGGTTGTGTTCTTTCTAAGGTTCTTTAGAACCAAACAATGGCTGTTGTGAAAATGCTTGCTGATTAAAGAGGAGGGGTTTTTAATATATGTTCATTTAGTGTTGTGTGCAGTGATGCCAGCATAGCATGCACCACACATTCAGTTTTTATAAACATTGTTGATTCACAATCAGTGTCTTTTTCAGACTAAACAAGCTGAAGCATTAGCAGAAGAGGGTCCAGCAGAGTTCTGGAGCCAATCACTTCAAAATTCTCAGGGGCGACCAGTTCAGGTATTAAGTAGATTAGAAAACCGTCGTGCAGGTACACCAGCCTCATCAACCAACTAACAACCAAACACAGCCAAAAATTAGCTAATGGGATATGAAGAGAAACTGCTGGCTAAAGAGCCAAATTCCCAGAGTGGTAAAGTTCTAAACAAAGTGGATGAAGAAAATGAAAATGGAACAAAACAACCATCAGATTATGTTCATTGGAAATGGGCCATTTTAAACTTATAGATGGAAGTGAGGCTGGAGGTGACCTTGTAGCCTGTGTGGCAAGTGTTTGAAAAGGAAGGGAAAGGGGGTTGGGGATGCAAGAGAACAGGGGTGCACCCCTCGCATTTCTCTTGAGCCTAAAACGCCCTTTCCCTTCCATTTCAAATGCATGCCACCAGGCTAGTGACCTTGTTTTGATACAAACTTTCCTGCATTATTATGTAAATCAAGTTGTTCTTATGCTAACTAGTATTTTTCAAGGACAGTTTTCATAACAAAGCAAAGGAGGTTTGTATCAAAACAATTGAGGTCAACCTCAGCCTCACATTCACTTGAAGGCTAGGGCACTAAGTCCACAACTGTAAAATGGTCTTTTCTTAAAAAAGCATTTTAGAAATACCACAATCAAACTTGTTAAATTACACTTTTTACACGTTTTTTGCATATGTTATAGTTAATTTTTATCTCAGGTAATTTTTATTTTTCCTTTGTTTCAACTTCATTAGCATTCATTACCATACCCAAAAACAGAAGAAAAATAAAAATTACCTGAGATAAAAAATTAACTGCAACATATACACTGTAAGATCATCTGGAACCAAATCATTAGTTGTTGGAAACATGCTTGCCAGTTGGAGAGGAGGAAAATCAAGGTTTTGCTACTTGATACAATTGCCACCATTCACATGTAATCCAACATAACCTTTATTTAACAGGCCAAATATTATTATTGTTAACAAGACGTACAATGTGGACAGGAACTTTTGACAAATCACTCAATGGACTTTGATAAAATCAGTAAAAAAAATAATAAATGTAATAATAGGAATAAGAATGAGAATAATGTTAACAGGGACAGTCACTAAAAGATCCCATCTGTATTTAAAGAAAGCAGGACTAAACAGAAGTGTTCTACCATTACGAAAAGCTTGTTTACTGGGAACAGCAAAAATAGGTGATGGACACCTTAAGGTGATGGATACATGTTACTAAGGTGACAGGAGGTCACCTAGTACCAGGGAATGATCCTGTTGGACGACCAAGAAAACAGTACGAACTTCAACTGACAATAATCATCATCATCATCATCATCATCATCATTATCATCATCACCATAATATTACAGCCAAAGCAGGTCAAGCGATCCAGTCGCTAACGAACTAATGGATTCATTAATGGCAAGATGATTTCGTTTGTTGATTCAATAATCCATTCATAAAACGAACAATTCAATATTCATATTCAGCCTCGATTCAATGATCGAATATTGATTTGATTATTGTTTTTTCAAAAACTACACTTTCCACAAATCGTCCTCAGAATTTTGTTTTTTCTTCTTTTTTTGTAAGAATCGAGTGCGGGTGTGTTCTGAAGTTCAAACCCAAACAAACTTTTACATGTACGCCATTTTGCTGCCAATAATAGTGCAACAGACCTGACCTCTTAGAAAACACGGTGGTCAAACTGAGGTCAGTTTATGTGCGGTGATCGGTGGATTTCGATCCTCGGCCTTTGTCAGTTTCTTTGCGTTTGCGGTCTGTCTATTCTTGCTCTTATTTTGATTAAACGCAATGAAAAACGCAATCTTAAATGGTAGAAAAAGGGACTGGTGAATACGATTGAACACAACAGACAAGAATTAAGAACAATAGACTTTGTTCATAAACCAAATCAGCATTTAATTATTGAATCGAGGTCCAATTTAACTATTGGATTATTCAGTCATTATATGAATGGATTATTGAATCGACAAACCGAATCATGTTTTCATTCATGAATTTATTATTGCACTAGCGACTGGAACGTTTGACATGCTTTGACTGTGAAAAAGAGTGTTGGTTCAATTTTGTTTGTGTTTGTTTCTTGTATATATTTTTTTGTTTTTCAGAACGTTGGTACATTGACAGATCTGGACAAATTGTACCTGGCTTTGGCTGAAGTTAAAAAAGAGCACTATTTCAATACCCTTTGCTTTGGTCTAGGAATCAACAGTTTAAACGCCTTAGAGAATTACAGTATTGGATCAGACAAAGCCCAAAGTCGTATTATATCATCTACTGATCTAGCTGACTTAAAAGAGGAACTAAAAAACCGGTTATTCTCCTTTTATCAACTTTCTGAGGTACCTGATCAGATACATAAGGGCAAAAACCGAATATCCACATCCAGCATAAAGGCGATACCCGAAATATCGCGAAATTTGGCAGAGCCACAGTTATATCCTCGTTTGTTTTCAACAAATGACTTTCAAATTTGGCAACTTTACTGATTGTACGGCGTTCCCTCCAGCCATGTTAACCCTTTAAGCCCCAAGATCCACATATAAATTCTCAAGACTGATGCCCATACATTTCGTTTAAGAAAAGTTGAGAGAATTGGTTTAAGATCAAAGCGTTTTCTCTTTGGTAATCAATTTAGTCATTCTGATAACCTTTACTCTTGATGATCTGCAGATATTGTTAGGAGAATATTGATTTTGGTCACATTCGAGACCTAAAGGGTTAACGGTTTTTGGCTAACTGATCCCAGTCAAAAGTTGAAAAATCGTGAAAGGGTCTGTTAGGCTAAGACGTTATTGGGGTTTAAAGTCGATTAGTAAGAAGTTGTTTCGCCCGAACGTAAGTCCATTCGCCCAATGTTTATTTGTCGTTCTTTAATTACTAGAATGGTTGAAATCACCAGTCTTATTGTTTTAACGTTGTTGTGGTTACTGTTGCTTTTTAGAAATACAAAAGTAGCAACGTTCATGAGACGTGTAGAGTAAAGGGAATTCCAATGATCCAAAAACAAGACGTTTCTGTCACAAAAGCTATGGGTGTGGGCCCTTTTGCTGGATATGTATGCGAAGCTCAATGGACAAGGCCTGATGGAGTTCAGGTTTGTGCCATTTTGGAATGAATTGACATAATGAAGGATAACGCGTGTCTGGGTCTCGTAGATCATAATACATGTTAGCGTACCTTCTTTATCAGCTACAAAAGGTCCAAACTACCATAGCTAGGTTTATTTTCCAGGAAGTTTAAAACTGTCATGTTAAGGTGGCTCGGTTGGATTTTTAGGGCCATTCCTTTCAACGTAAACTTCTTCGCCATTGTCAAAGATACAGGAAAAGGATTTATTTTAAAAACGAGGTGAAAATTTGTTGTGAAGAGTATTTTGTTGAGCTCAGAGGTGTGATAACAACCATATAATGACATCATTAACTATTCTACTTGCAGTCGCATTTCTCAGCACTGGGAGGTTTCAAAAATTCCCCAAAATCGCTAAGGGAGTTTGTTTCTCCAAAAGTCACTTCAATGTTCTTGATGTTTGGGCATGAAGTTTTAATGATTACAAACACAGTAAAAGCCAGTGGAGAATCTTGAAACTCGGCCATTATCTATAGAAAACGAAGCGCGTTTTTGAACGCAATTTCACCGCATCCATAGTAGTTTTGCCGTTTTTTCCTAAACGATATTCTAAATATTTCCGTCAATCTTTTGATTAAATAAAAGGCGCGAGAAATAGTGAAAGCAGGACAGGAGAAGAAGAAAGCTGCACAACTCCGCCAAGGAAACAACAATGCCACACACGTATGATGGAATGACCATCAACAAAGTTCGTTCGCGAAAACCGCTTCAACCCACCGTTTCAAAAAGAAACACTCCTCGCACGGTTTTAACACAAAAAGTAACATCTTTTAAAAAAGAAAAAAAAAACACAAAGAGGAACGCAAGCTTCCAAATTTTGCTATATCCGTCGTAAGTTATTTAACTGCCTGTCTATTTGTTTTGTTTTGTTTTTTTTTAGCAAAAGGTGTGTCTTCGGTACGATGAAAAAGTTGACACACTGTTTCTGCATGAAGCAGAAATGGCAAATGTACTTCGTCACAAGAACATGCTTTCTATTTATGGTGTGGTAACTGGAAGTTCCTATTCACCCACTTTTGCTTTGGTAAGTTTAACTACAAAATCATTTTATTTTTAGTCATTAACTTGTAGAAATTTGGCCGAACAACGCCGTTTGAAGCTAGTTAAGTCCTTTTTGCTTGGTCCTTTTTGCTTGGTTTCGAACGAAAAAAGAACGCAAAACGTCTCAAAAGTTGTTTACAAATTGAACTAGAGCTATGCTGCTCCTTTTGCGGGAAAATTTCCATTCCATCGAGGAATATGGAAAGGAAATATGCCAGTTTGATAATGCAAAAATCTTGCATTTAGTACATTGCGCTAGCCGTCAGTAATCCCTCCCCCTCCCTCCTCCCTTGTTTTTTGTTTTTATACGCGCGCTCAACAATCTCTAAAGAGAAGAAAAGGAGTCTAAACAGGCTAGTACGTATGCATGTCACAGAGCATTGTAAATTCGGTCCTTTCACGGTAGGTAGTGGAATTCGCAGAATATGGGAACCTCTATGAATCCAGGGACTTCCGAACTATAGAAGAACTATGCAGGTTTACAATACAAGCTGCTACTGCTCTGGAATACATTGAGTCAAAGGGTATCATCCACCAAGCGGTCAACTCAAATACCTGCCTGGTTGTGTCAAAAACTGAGGTGAGCTTATATGATGAAGTTTTTGTTGTGGTTGTGGTGAACACTTGTGAACTGCTCTCAATAAAGTCACGATGATTTGTGTTTTCTCCCTTTTAGCCTGTAATCTTCACAGGGTCCAGGGGAGATATGTTTGTCGTTAGAACATCAAAACCCGTCGAAAACCTCTGAAAAAATGGGTTATTTTGATCTCGTTACAGTTTCGTTACACATTCGGCTGCAAACCAAGCCGAGACTGAGGGCTCGCAGAATCGGCTTACAGTATAAAATACGGATTGTCCTTTTTATTACTCGGCACTTGGTGCCTCGGTCGCCCTTCGGGCGACGTGCCGAGCGCCAACGAAGATATGGCTTGCGGTTATTGATTTTCAAAATGGCGAACAACAAAGATCTGGGTCAGACAAGAAGCGAACAAATTGTTTACAATAGAGTCATAAAGATCCCACTGGGCTAATTAATCGTGCTAAGCGACAGGTATAGACATTTTTCAAGGTGAGACTTTAAATAAGTAATTCATTTATTCACACGAAACTTCTCTGGACCCTGTGTAATCTTGTTTTGAACTGTTGCTAATATAATTCCTCACTCGCCAAAAAAAGGGATTATTTAGGTTTCTGGGAAACTGCCCACCTACCCCTTCCCTAAGTCAACATTAACACTAACTTCTCACTTAGGGCAAAATGTTGGGTTAGGGGAGGGGTAGGTGGGCAGTTTCCCAGAAACCCAAATTGATTCAAAAAAATGTCTCTCCCTCTCAATCACCATCTCCCCACGTGGTGAAGTCCATATCGGGTTTGTGCTCACGCAAGGCCCTCCCCACATGAAAGGGGTAAGGCTAACACTAACGCACAGTTGTAAGCTTTTCCTTATCCAAATAAACAAACAAACAAAGGCAACGTTGTACAGTTGTATCTTTATCTGACCATTAAAGAACGTCGTCAGTCAACTTCCTTTAGTGCCTTTACAGCGGCAGGACAAACGCAGTCGGTAGTGTGTTTGACGGCAGGGTGCGGCTTCGCGGGTTGGACTCCCGGGACAGGGTCTTAAAGGTGCTATGTCACGCTATTTGCCATTTTCAATTAATGTGAAAAAGCTAACATTTTTCTTCGCATCAATCTAATGGTCCATGATGGACATGCATGGATTGAAACTTCAAAAAGTTGGGCCAAAATTTTCAAGTTTAAATGCTATGCATGCAAAATTCTCAAAAAAAAATTTTCATGTTTGGTGCTTCCTCTATGATTTTTTTAAAATCTTCTTCATATAATGTAGCCATAGCAACGTTGATCTTTTCACATGGATATAACATGTCATTTTCACATGTGAAGATGTCATGTTTTCGCTCGAAATTTCATTGTTGTTTATACAATAAAAATTTTTTTTCAAAGGTTTTGAGTACTTTGTTAGCGAGGAATTGTGCTTTTGACTTCGGAGTCTAAGACCTCCCTGGAGAAATGCACCCTCTATCAACGCACATAATGCGTGACTCCGAATTTCTGTTTAACTCTGACTTACGTTTACGTTCCTTTAGATGAAGCTTGGTGGTCTTGGATCTTGCCAGTATGACACGGAAATGAAAAAGTGAGTATGTGTTTGTATTCTGGTCACCAGACGAGATTTCTTTGGCGGTTAAGGTAGACGTACAAGGCAAGTCTTTCGTCTCCGCCTTTCTCTCATGGAATAGCGATATAATGACTTGTGTACATTTGCAACTGATTTCACTTAAAGGTATATTTTCAGTTGCTTTTCGAGTGTAGCGCCATGGAGCTTTTAAGTCGTGCGTTTTATGCTACTTTGTCAATCATATTTAAAAAAAAGCAAAAACGTTAATAATGAAACGTGCTCTCCCTCTCCCCCTGCCCATTTCTTGTGATGCTTGTGGAAATTTTCAAGTTGTTGGTTAAATGCGTTTATGTTTTTTTTTTTTTTTTCAGAAACAAGCCTGCATATACACAGAAAGACGTGGTGTACCAGTTTGCCAAGCTCTTCTCTATTCACTTCACTGGTTTTAACTACAAGGTTAGGGTGACAGATGAGAATGTGGCCAGCAGCTTCAAGGTAGTCTTCTTGATACCCGATTGGATTCGCACCTTTGATTATATATAGTTTTGTGAAGTATTTTCAAGGTTATTTTTTTAAGTCTGCCAAAAAAGGTTCTTGTATGTGGGGTAATTTTTGTCAAATTAAGTGTAGTAGGTTCTTAATTTTTATGAAAAAGATGATAGATTGCTGATTATCAGGATATATAGTTTAGTGCAGTTTTAGTTCACAATTTTATTGTTTTAACCATAACAAAACTGATTACTGAAATAAGATACAATTTGGTACAGTATGTTCTTGTTATACGTAAATTCACAAGCTGAAAGTTACTCTCCTTGGTTAAATTGTTTATCATAATTTAACTGAAACCGAGCCCGGGCCACGTGTAAGAACCTGCCCGATATTGCTTGGCTAAACAGCTTCTTGTATTTTTTGGCATTAAAGTGGCAAATTTCTGCCAAAAAGGTTCTTAATCCACAGGTTCTTATTCTCGGGTGTTTACTGTATCAGAGTTGGCCTTGATCCATTAGTCTCCTTCAATTTGCTGTTTGTTTTTTTAACCATCATTTTAGTTTTTCGTTGGGTTGTGTCTTATTGCCGTTGGGTTGTGTCTTATTGTGTCTTATTGCCGATTCTACAGAAACGAGTGATCAGAACTATAGGTAAAACCAGTTTCGATGCACATACTGATCCAATCTTTCAAAATCTTGGTATCTTAAAATTTCATGATATATACTTAATACAACTAGGCTTATTCATGTACTCCTATCAAAACCATACTCTACCTTAAAAATTTCATTGTAAATTTACCTTACAAAGTCAAATTCATTCGGATGATAAAAGAAACTCGTTTAAATATCGTCTGCCTTTCTGTCGTACTCGAACCAAACAATTTTCAGTTTTTTATCAAGGACCTAAATTTTACAACACCTTAAACACCAGCGTTATCAACGCTTCCTCACCTTTTTCCTTTAAAAGAGCTCTTAAGGCATTTATTTGTAATAATTATTAGTATACTCCAACAGAAATCTTGCGAAAAAGTCTTTTAATATTCAACATTATTTGTAAACTTCCGTAATATTGATTAGTTTAATTTTCCACCTGATATTATTTGGTATCCGTCGACGTAATTTTTATGCCATCTTCGAAAAATTGTAATTGAGGAGGCCTAATTAACATAATCTCTATAGTTTCCTTTAGGCCTCCTCACCATTTCTTCCTACATTTTTTTTTTTGGCATTTTTTTTTGTAATTATTGTAATCGTGTGGCAAATAAAATACAAATACAAATAGCAGTCGTGTTGGCTCAGTTATACGAAAACAATACAAATACCGAGTTTGCTTTATTTTTATTCCCACGGTCAGCTAACCAATACATGTCCAGCTCTAACTATTAAAACCGCTACTATTGGCTTGTCGGTTTCAAAGAGTTGGAGTCGAGTAGGAGTAGTAGGAGTTGGGTTGGGGGTGGGTGATAGCTGTAAGCAGTAGCTGTTAAAGAATAATAAAGACCAAGATGTAAGAAGCACACTCTCGGTACCTTCTCTTGTAGCATGCGAGTTGCTCGAGCACCCCCAACATAATTATTTTGGTGGAGAACCCAGGTAACTAACCTTGAAAATACTTCACAACAGTAGTATGCGGATGATTAAGCGTTAAATTTTTAAAATAATTTTAAACATTAAAATCACCCTTACTTAATTAGGCTAGGAATCTCACAGGTTTTTTTTTTTGCAGATACTCCTAAAAAGGTAGATAACATCCATCGAGCAATATGTTTTGCGTATTCTTGCTTTCCTTCCGTTCAGTTTTAGTCAGAAATTCAGCTATTCTCTATTTTCCAATTGCCCATAATACACTCTGTTTGCACCCCAAATTCTGCATAAACCATTGTTTTTAAATGCTCCTCGGAGTATTGCATTTTCCCAAGAGCATTTTAAGACAATAAGTTATGCAAAATTTGGGGGGCAAACAGAGTGTATTATGGGCAATTGGAAAATAGTCAATTTTGACTTCAGATAGCCGCCATTCTTTTAGTTCACTCATGAATAAACAGCTGGGCCGCTGCGCCTGGAAACGAGGGTGATCGATAGCTGCTACTGCTCTGGAATACATTGAGTCAAAGGGTATCATCCACCAAGCGGTCAACTCAAATACCTGCCTGGTTGTGTCAAAAACTGAGGTGAGCTTATATGATGAAGTTTTTGTTGTGGTTGTGGTGAACACTTGTGAACTGCTCTCAATAAAGTCACGATGATTTGTGTTTTCTCCCTTTTAGCCTGTAATCTTCACAGGGTCCAGGGGAGATATGTTTGTCGTTAGAACATCAAAACCCGTCGAAAACCTCTGAAAAAATGGGTTATTTTGATCTCGTTACAGTTTCGTTACACATTCGGCTGCAAACCAAGCCGAGACTGAGGGCTCGCAGAATCGGCTTACAGTATAAAATACGGATTGTCCTTTTTATTACTCGGCACTTGGTGCCTCGGTCGCCCTTCGGGCGACGTGCCGAGCGCCAACGAAGATATGGCTTGCGGTTATTGATTTTCAAAATGGCGAACAACAAAGATCTGGGTCAGACAAGAAGCGAACAAATTGTTTACAATAGAGTCATAAAGATCCCACTGGGCTAATTAATCGTGCTAAGCGACAGGTATAGACATTTTTCAAGGTGAGACTTTAAATAAGTAATTCATTTATTCACACGAAACTTCTCTGGACCCTGTGTAATCTTGTTTTGAACTGTTGCTAATATAATTCCTCACTCGCCAAAAAAAGGGATTATTTAGGTTTCTGGGAAACTGCCCACCTACCCCTTCCCTAAGTCAACATTAACACTAACTTCTCACTTAGGGCAAAATGTTGGGTTAGGGGAGGGGTAGGTGGGCAGTTTCCCAGAAACCCAAATTGATTCAAAAAAATGTCTCTCCCTCTCAATCACCATCTCCCCACGTGGTGAAGTCCATATCGGGTTTGTGCTCACGCAAGGCCCTCCCCACATGAAAGGGGTAAGGCTAACACTAACGCACAGTTGTAAGCTTTTCCTTATCCAAATAAACAAACAAACAAAGGCAACGTTGTACAGTTGTATCTTTATCTGACCATTAAAGAACGTCGTCAGTCAACTTCCTTTAGTGCCTTTACAGCGGCAGGACAAACGCAGTCGGTAGTGTGTTTGACGGCAGGGTGCGGCTTCGCGGGTTGGACTCCCGGGACAGGGTCTTAAAGGTGCTATGTCACGCTATTTGCCATTTTCAATTAATGTGAAAAAGCTAACATTTTTCTTCGCATCAATCTAATGGTCCATGATGGACATGCATGGATTGAAACTTCAAAAAGTTGGGCCAAAATTTTCAAGTTTAAATGCTATGCATGCAAAATTCTCAAAAAAAAATTTTCATGTTTGGTGCTTCCTCTATGATTTTTTTAAAATCTTCTTCATATAATGTAGCCATAGCAACGTTGATCTTTTCACATGGATATAACATGTCATTTTCACATGTGAAGATGTCATGTTTTCGCTCGAAATTTCATTGTTGTTTATACAATAAAAATTTTTTTTCAAAGGTTTTGAGTACTTTGTTAGCGAGGAATTGTGCTTTTGACTTCGGAGTCTAAGACCTCCCTGGAGAAATGCACCCTCTATCAACGCACATAATGCGTGACTCCGAATTTCTGTTTAACTCTGACTTACGTTTACGTTCCTTTAGATGAAGCTTGGTGGTCTTGGATCTTGCCAGTATGACACGGAAATGAAAAAGTGAGTATGTGTTTGTATTCTGGTCACCAGACGAGATTTCTTTGGCGGTTAAGGTAGACGTACAAGGCAAGTCTTTCGTCTCCGCCTTTCTCTCATGGAATAGCGATATAATGACTTGTGTACATTTGCAACTGATTTCACTTAAAGGTATATTTTCAGTTGCTTTTCGAGTGTAGCGCCATGGAGCTTTTAAGTCGTGCGTTTTATGCTACTTTGTCAATCATATTTAAAAAAAAGCAAAAACGTTAATAATGAAACGTGCTCTCCCTCTCCCCCTGCCCATTTCTTGTGATGCTTGTGGAAATTTTCAAGTTGTTGGTTAAATGCGTTTATGTTTTTTTTTTTTTTTTCAGAAACAAGCCTGCATATACACAGAAAGACGTGGTGTACCAGTTTGCCAAGCTCTTCTCTATTCACTTCACTGGTTTTAACTACAAGGTTAGGGTGACAGATGAGAATGTGGCCAGCAGCTTCAAGGTAGTCTTCTTGATACCCGATTGGATTCGCACCTTTGATTATATATAGTTTTGTGAAGTATTTTCAAGGTTATTTTTTTAAGTCTGCCAAAAAAGGTTCTTGTATGTGGGGTAATTTTTGTCAAATTAAGTGTAGTAGGTTCTTAATTTTTATGAAAAAGATGATAGATTGCTGATTATCAGGATATATAGTTTAGTGCAGTTTTAGTTCACAATTTTATTGTTTTAACCATAACAAAACTGATTACTGAAATAAGATACAATTTGGTACAGTATGTTCTTGTTATACGTAAATTCACAAGCTGAAAGTTACTCTCCTTGGTTAAATTGTTTATCATAATTTAACTGAAACCGAGCCCGGGCCACGTGTAAGAACCTGCCCGATATTGCTTGGCTAAACAGCTTCTTGTATTTTTTGGCATTAAAGTGGCAAATTTCTGCCAAAAAGGTTCTTAATCCACAGGTTCTTATTCTCGGGTGTTTACTGTATCAGAGTTGGCCTTGATCCATTAGTCTCCTTCAATTTGCTGTTTGTTTTTTTAACCATCATTTTAGTTTTTCGTTGGGTTGTGTCTTATTGCCGTTGGGTTGTGTCTTATTGTGTCTTATTGCCGATTCTACAGAAACGAGTGATCAGAACTATAGGTAAAACCAGTTTCGATGCACATACTGATCCAATCTTTCAAAATCTTGGTATCTTAAAATTTCATGATATATACTTAATACAACTAGGCTTATTCATGTACTCCTATCAAAACCATACTCTACCTTAAAAATTTCATTGTAAATTTACCTTACAAAGTCAAATTCATTCGGATGATAAAAGAAACTCGTTTAAATATCGTCTGCCTTTCTGTCGTACTCGAACCAAACAATTTTCAGTTTTTTATCAAGGACCTAAATTTTACAACACCTTAAACACCAGCGTTATCAACGCTTCCTCACCTTTTTCCTTTAAAAGAGCTCTTAAGGCATTTATTTGTAATAATTATTAGTATACTCCAACAGAAATCTTGCGAAAAAGTCTTTTAATATTCAACATTATTTGTAAACTTCCGTAATATTGATTAGTTTAATTCTCCACCTGATATTATTTTGTATCCGTCGCCGTAATTTTTATGCCATCTTCGAAAAATTGTAATTGAGGAGGCCTAATTAACATAATCTCTATAGTTTCCTTTAGGCCTCCTCACCATTTCTTCCTACATTTTTTTTTTTTGGCATTTTTTTTTGAAATTATTGTAATCGTGTGGCAAATAAAATACAAATACAAATAGCAGTCGTGTTGGCTCAGTTATACGAAAACAATACAAATACCGAGTTTGCTTTATTTTTATTCCCACGGTCAGCTAACCAATACATGTCCAGCTCTAACTATTAAAACCGCTACTATTGGCTTGTCGGTTTCAAAGAGTTGGAGTCGAGTAGGAGTAGTAGGAGTTGGGTTGGGGGTGGGTGATAGCTGTAAGCAGTAGCTGTTAAAGAATAATAAAGACCAAGATGTAAGAAGCACACTCTCGGTACCTTCTCTTGTAGCATGCGAGTTGCTCGAGCACCCCCAACATAATTATTTTGGTGGAGAACCCAGGCAACTAACCTTGAAAATACTTCACAACAGTAGTATGCGGATGATTAAGCGTTAAATTTTTAAAATAATTTTAAACATTAAAATCACCCTTACTTAATTAGGCTAGGAATCTCACAGGTTTTTTTTTTGCAGATACTCCTAAAAAGGTAGATAACATCCATCGAGCAATATGTTTTGCGTATTCTTGCTTTCCTTCCGTTCAGTTTTAGTCAGAAATTCAGCTATTCTCTATTTTCCAGTTGCCCATAATACACTCTGTTTGCACCCCAAATTCTGCATAAACCATTGTTTTTAAATGCTCCTGGGAGTATTGCATTTTCCCAAGAGCATTTTAAGGCAATAAGTTGTGCAAAATTTGGGGGGCAAACAGAGTGTATTATGGGCAATTGGAAAATAGTCAATTTTGACTTCAGATAGCCGCCATTCTTTTAGTTCACTCATGAATAAACAGCTGGGCCGCTGCGCCTGGAAACGAGGGTGATCGATAGTCTATTGCTTGTGCTACCTTTTTTCTAAATCAACCTTGTTTCCAAGCTTCTCGCATCTTCCAAATTTGGTCAACGCCAGTTGGTTCTCAAGAATTAGCCGCGGGCTTGAAACCAATCAAAAACGGTGACATACTTTAAATGAGTAATTCTTATCATTATCATTATCATCATCATCATCATCATCATCATCATCATCATCATTATCATTATCATTATCATTATCATTATCATTATCATTATCATTATCATTATCATTATCATTATCATTATCATTATTATTATTATTATTATTATTATATTTTTTAACTGAATTTTTTAACCCCTTCCACTTTTTCCCTTCAATGTTTTAGGCCTCTGCTGGAAGACATGGCTACGCTTGCCCTTCTCATTTTTGCGACGTTTTTAATAGTTGTATGCAAGAAAACCCAGAAGCAAGACCTTCGTTTAAGGAAATCAGAGAATCACTTCTTGCACAAGTAGGTTCTCACACACTTCTTTTCGTGTACCTTCCGCTAGTAATTCCCCATATCATCATAGATGAAGAAATGTAAATCCTCCCTCTTTTTAGCCTCAATTAACATTATAGAGCTTTAGATTTGAGAACGATTACTACGGTGACTACGAGAACGAGATTTTCTCATTACTAAGTAGTGCACTTAAGCGAGTAAGCCAGCGTCATTTTGGCGGGAAAACGTGATAGCGGCTGTCATTCTACAACGGTTTTCATCGTGAATGTCGTAGCGGCGGGAGCAAGTTATCAAATGTAAGAATTTTTATCACTTTGGTATCGGGAGAGGACTTTAAAACCTCCTTCAGTATAGATAAGCGTACTATTTTTTTTTGGTGGAAAAAAAAAAATGTAAAATGAAACTTTTCGGGATGTCCTTTTTTTTTAGAACACGCGAGTTAAATCTCGTACTCGTTCTCATCTTGACCGAAACCGGTGTTCTGTGTGTTGGAGTATGTATAGCAAACAAATTATTTCAACTTATTTTGTAAGAAAATGTCTGAAGATCAGTCCAGAAAATTGGTATGTAGATATTAGCACTTCAGGTGTATGGTTCTGCTCATTATAGGTTTCACAACATTTTATTTACGTAGAAGTTTCCATCGAAAGTGAGAGTAACTACTACGTTTTTTGCCGTGTCACCGGATTTTATCGGCTTTAAAACTGGAGAGTTGATTACATTGATCGCTAAGGACAGGCACAAGTAAGCAATGACCATTTTCTATGTATAGTCGATTCCTCTAGTAGAAACCTTTTGTAGTCGAAAACGTGTCAGCTGAATGTGTACCCTAGGGAGGTTAAAAAGCAACGCTTGTATGCAGGTGTCTTCTAGTCAACACAGATGTCCATCACATAAGGGAGATTAAGAATGCTTTGTTTGTACTGCTTTATTTGGCTGGGAACGTGCCTAAGTGCCCCTAGGCAAAAAAGGTTTTTCCTGAGGAAGATAAAAAGTGGAGTGTTAGTGTTTATTTCCGACCATGAAAAAGTGCCCTCTAATTAAGAGAGGTGTCCGTCTAATGGAGGCTAACCCTTTAAATCCCAAGATCAAAATTTGAATTTTCATTTGTTGCCCCTATTCATTTCCTACAGAAGTAGTAGCGAGAAGTTGATATAATATCAAGCAAACGCATCTTGTGTGATCATGTCCGTAATTCTCATGACCACTCTGTTTTACAAAGCATTGATATTACAAGGAGAAATTTGATGCTGATCACTCTTAAGGCTTAAAGGGTTAAAAATGCAGTGGTATACTTGGCTGGGACCTTGGCAAAGTTTCCTGTAAGATATCCCTATAAAAATAAGCCTAAGCGATGGTCCATGTGGTATGTATCTAAGGATTTGCGTTTGTTTGCAGGGAAGACAAAACGGTCTGGTTAGGTGAAAGACAGGACAGGAAAATCGGATTCTTTAAGAGCGAGCATGTGAAAGAAGTGTTGGGTTATCACATTATGGACGGTAAGTTGGTGAATTCGTTTCTGATTACCAAATTAATTATTATTTATTTCTGGGTACGTTTCTACAAAAAAACAGCCAGCCGGAGACAAACGCATCAAAAGTAAGGGAAGTGCGCCAAACAGTGCAAAAGGTCTTGTGTACAGTCAAAGGCGGATCCGCTGTGCAACATTGGACATCCAATGATCTGTTCTATAGGCCACTAATCATTAACGCCTGCCTTTTTTTACCAGATTCATTTGTACCACCAGAGATTCGAGCGCGGGGTCCAGAAGCCGAACTTGCTTTCCAAAAAGCCCTGCAGAGTGGAAAGGTGAAAGTTTACCGTGGTCGCATAATGCTACTTGGCCAGGACAGGGCGGGCAAAACGAGTCTCAAAAAATCTCTTTTGGGAATGCCTTTCAACCCACAGGAAGAGAGTACAATTGGAGTTGAAGTTGATCCTTCAAAATGCCAAGTGGACGTCGACCAAATTAAAAATTGGGAGCCCATAAAAGATAAGAAGCTTGAAGTATCTGAGTTTGCTGAAGACATTGCAATGCTCATCGCGAAGGATTTGAGTAAAGGACAAACTGACAAACAAGATATTTCGCAGTCCGCGGGAGTTATAGAAGAGGTACCGTTGATGAAACATTGTACATTTTTTTAGCCTTTTTTTTGCTGTGGTCGAGATGACGATTTTGTTTCTTTAGCTTGAAACTAATACTTTCAATGAGATTATCTCAACCAACTGCTTCGTCTGATTTTGTTTTGCTGTTGTTTAATGTTGTATTTTTGTTGTCTGGACAGTGAAGATGTTTTTTGCTGATTTACTATGTTGAATTTAAGGTGGCTTGTCTGGATTTTTTAGGGGGGATACCTCCCAAGTTTGAGCATTAACTACGTCGGCATGAGTAAAGATATGGGGAAAAGGTTACCACAACTGTACTAAAAAGAGGAAAATTTGTAATAATCTGGGTTTTATTGCAATCGGAGTCGCCATGGCAACGTAATGACGCCATTACATTTTTTATTTATCTTTGTGTTTCTCTGTACTAGGAGTTTTTTTAAGAAATCGCTTAAGGCAGTATCTACCTGCCATAATTGCCTCAATTATGGCAAAGTTTGAACAAATTCTATGAGAGCGTTTTCGAAATCTAAAGATTGTTATACACCTGATTGTTTTATAGAGTAATGTGGACGAATTGGACGGCATTAGGCCAAAGCAATCTGAGACCTTGTCAACCGTAGCTGAGTCGACAACGAATATAAAACCTGAGAGCACCTCAGAGCTGCATGGCTCCAGGGATGATAATGCAGAGGGGAAAAGTTCAACCAGTTCATCAGATCAAGGTGTGCAGTTAAATATCGACACCACTGCTGCGTTGTCGGACGATGTCACAGAATTGGTCATTCAATACTTGGAGCGGCTTAAATTGGATGATGACATCAAAGCAAAGGAAGTCATTTTGACGCTGTGGGATTTTGCTGGACAGCACCTATACTATGCGTCACATCCTGTCTTTCTTTCACCGCGAGCAGTGTACGTCTTGGTCTATAATCTTAGCAAAAGTCTAAGTGCCGAAGCTGAGCCCTGTGTCAGACAAGGTATTCATGATCTTCTCTTGGACAACCCAAACAGTGAGACCAACTTAGATAGTTTACTGGCCTGGTTAGTTTCTGTTCATAGTATTCGACGTCCTACAGAGAGTAAAACTGTGCAAGGAGCAGATCATCAAGGCACAAACTTGCCCTATCTTCGTCCACCAGTCTTCATTGTTGGTACAAATGCTGATCACCCTTTCGAAGACTACAAGAAAATGGAAAAGTGCATCGAGAGGGGTATCTCGGGCAATACTTACGAAGAGCACGTGATCAGGCCATTCTTTGCAGTCGATAACACTAAGTCGCAAAGCGATGACGGGATCCAGAAACTACAGAAGGAAATTATGGAGGTATTGAAACGAGAACCGTACATGGGTGAAGAGGTACCAATTAGGTACGTTTCGCAAAATAGTGTGTTCTATTCAAGGTAGTAATTCGGTACCCTTTTTGGATTGGACTGAAAAGCACGATTAAAAGAAAACTCAATATACGACGTCTACTTCATTTATGTCAGGTTTCGTTATTACAAAATTGGCTGTTTATGCATAACTGAAAATTGTACATATTTTGTTGTTAAATGAAATATCGTGGCGTTTCGTAATGTTTTTTTTTTTCTTTTTTTTTTTCTCATTACAGTTGAGGGGCGTAGACCTCTCGGAACAACTTGCAGCTCTTCCATAAGCAAGCTAGACGTAAAGTGAAATATTCAATTACCCTAATGCAAAAACCAAATACACCAAACCAACCCACTTTTTTTTACCTCCAATCCTTTTTCGGTCGTCTTTGCTTGTAACGGTTTCTTCGTTGTCCCTTTATTGTTCACAATAGGTGGTTCAATTTCGAAAAAGTTGTCGAGGCATTGGTTGCGAAGAAAACTTTCCACATGTCCCTGGACCAGCTTCTGACCGTCACCAGAAGAGTTTGCCAAATCGAGGACGATGCGGAGTTGACGGCCATGTTGAATTTCTATCATGATCTTGGTGTTATAGTCAAGCATGGCCATACAGTAGTGCTGCAGGCTCAGTGGCTTATCAACCTATTTAAACAACTGATAACTGTCCGGCCTTTCAATGAGGTGGTAAGTCTTTAAGGACTTTAAGATTCGAAGACGCGAGGAAGAATACGAGGTCTAGATTTTGCTCAATACAAAGTAAAACGCGCGTGAACCAGTGTCCTTCTTGGGAAAACCCTGACAGCCGTCGTCTTTTTATTACGAGTTTTAGCGATAATATCCTAGTGGCGGAAGCAAAAGTTGTCAGATGTTAGACATTTTATCATTTTGCGATCGGGAAAGGGCATAACCTCCTTCAATAAAGGTAATGGTGCTATCTTTTCTGCTAAAAAACGTCTTAAGCATTACGGGGTATCTAATACACAAATAAATCTTTAATTCAATAATAGTACTCGTAGTTGTTCTCGTCCTCGAATCTTAAGGTCTCTAATTGTGCGTTTGAGCGAGTTCCCTGTTTTTATCCCCAGGCCGATAAGAATCATTCTTAAACTGATGCATATCTCATACATCTGCATTTACTATCCGTTACGAAAATCTCTTTAAAAATGTTGAATACCTCCTTTAATGAGAACTTTATTAATGTTTTCCCTCGTTTTTATACTCCTAAGGTATTGGATGCGCATCATGTAGTCGCTTATCATTCAACAACTGTAACATTTATTGATATAAAGTCTTTTACCATAACCTGAACTATTTCGTTTACATGTGTTGGTCGACTGCTATTGTCTGTACGAACATAGACAACCTCTTGATAGCGCAAACATTTTTCTCAGCCCTTGCTCGCAAGTTTCTGGTGAATGTCTCTGGAATTAGGCATTCAGGCACTTCGGTGTTATTGCAAACGAAAACACAAATCGACCATACTAACAACAGGCCTCTGTGGGATTTATTCATATTCTGAAGATGTTCCTGAATTGTTCTAAATTTTAGGATCCTTTGTTTTCCAAATGTTGGCGCGAGCTGGAAGAAAACGGCATCCTTAGAATGGCTCTTGTAGATCACATTTTCACGGATTTCATTCAGAATGGCCTTCCGAAGCAGGACGTCCTTGATATGATGGAACTGTATGGCTTAATTGGCAAGTTCTCCTGCTTGTCTTCGAAGGACGATCGAGTGCAAGAATACTTTGTTCCAGCTCAGCTCAGATCATCCCCATCTGGTCTGTGCAAGATACGTCCCTCCGATAGTGATCCGTGTCCACTATACATCCATTTCCCTGATGGATTTGTTCCACACGGGCTCTTTTCTCAGCTGCTGTCAAGGTGTATCAGCTGGTGCTCCCAACAAGGCCTCAAGCAGCCTCCACAGCTATTTAATAATGGTGCAAGGCTTTTCATTGGAATGCAGAGTGCTTTCGAGCTTTTCCTAATTTGCAGAAAGAGATTCATCAAGGTTGTGTTGAAGATGAGTCAGAGATGTCGTTCCATGACTGGGTCATTGACAGCTGCCTCAACGAAGATAGCCAATGAGGTTCGGGCCTTTGTTGAGGCTTCTTTAAGAGCCCTTACGTCTGAGCTGTCCTGGTTGCAAAACCTCCAGTATGAACTTTGTGTCGCTTGCTGTCATTGCTTGCAAAATGGTGACCAGAGCACTAAACATGAATCGACAAGTTGTTCTCAGGATGAGTGCCTGCATCTTCTCCGAGTACGTCCCGGAGAAGAGCCAATTTGTACAAAGAGCTACAATGGTGAAGCGGTTAAGGTGAATGGGTTGGAGAAATGGTTCCAAGCTTACAAAGCTCAGGTAATCTTCTTTTCACTGAGGCCTCCCGTTTAACTGTCTAAAAGAGCAGTCTCTGCGTTATAATTATAGAAGCAGGCTGATATTGCGCCTTCGCTAATGCTTATGTTACTCCTTTGTTTGATTTAAATTAGAATGACGAGGAGGTCTTGGAGTGCCCGCTTGTGGGCAACGAAATTTTAAAAGGTACTATGTTGATTTCCTTTTCCTTAGTCTTGATTTCCCTTTCCTTTTTGTTTGTTTGCTTGGGGCTTGTTTTGTTATATGCCACGCTTGTTTTAAAAATCGCGTCAAAAAAATGCAATTTAAAAGCTAATGTACATAGTAGCTGTTGCTTCCTTGATCTGTACCGCTAATAATTCACTCTTTCTAGGTCTAACAAAAGTGTCTGAATCACAGTCTTAATTTTACCTTGACTGGTTGAACCAGGCAACGGATCAGAATTTATCTTGTTTCTGTTTTCCATTACCGTTCGTCATTTAGTTTCTGCTGAAACTATCGTGGAAAACAGGCGGGTTTTTTCACCTTTTTCAGGTGGTTGAAGGCGAGCGCGGAGCGCCAGAGGCTCCCGTTGATAAACGGCGAAAAAAATGCGTTATTAGTTTCGCGTCCCTCCCGTCTTGCGTGTCTGGTACTCTACGTCCGCTTCGCGCTGGCTTTCGCTCGCCAGAAAAATGCAAACCGTCTGTTCTGCACGTTAACTGAACTTCACCCTGTTAATCACTCTAGAGTGGCCTTTTAAGCATTCATTAAACGTTGCTTTTAACAGATTTTGCATCACTCAAGTGTGGCAAACCCTCAACTGACGACCTTCTACTTATTGCTTATGACCTTGGTTCCTCGTGGAAAATGTTTGGACGGGCGCTTAACCTAATCCTTCAAAATGCCAAGTGGACGTCGACCAAATTAAAAATTGGGAGCCCATAAAAGATAAGAAGCTTGAAGTATCTGAGTTTGCTGAAGACATTGCAATGCTCATCGCGAAGGATTTGAGTAAAGGACAAACTGACAAACAAGATATTTCGCAGTCCGCGGGAGTTATAGAAGAGGTACCGTTGATGAAACATTGTACATTTTTTTAGCCTTTTTTTTGCTGTGGTCGAGATGACGATTTTGTTTCTTTAGCTTGAAACTAATACTTTCAATGAGATTATCTCAACCAACTGCTTCGTCTGATTTTGTTTTGCTGTTGTTTAATGTTGTATTTTTGTTGTCTGGACAGTGAAGATGTTTTTTGCTGATTTACTATGTTGAATTTAAGGTGGCTTGTCTGGATTTTTTAGGGGGGATACCTCCCAAGTTTGAGCATTAACTACGTCGGCATGAGTAAAGATATGGGGAAAAGGTTACCACAACTGTACTAAAAAGAGGAAAATTTGTAATAATCTGGGTTTTATTGCAATCGGAGTCGCCATGGCAACGTAATGACGCCATTACATTTTTTATTTATCTTTGTGTTTCTCTGTACTAGGAGTTTTTTTAAGAAATCGCTTAAGGCAGTATCTACCTGCCATAATTGCCTCAATTATGGCAAAGTTTGAACAAATTCTATGAGAGCGTTTTCGAAATCTAAAGATTGTTATACACCTGATTGTTTTATAGAGTAATGTGGACGAATTGGACGGCATTAGGCCAAAGCAATCTGAGACCTTGTCAACCGTAGCTGAGTCGACAACGAATATAAAACCTGAGAGCACCTCAGAGCTGCATGGCTCCAGGGATGATAATGCAGAGGGGAAAAGTTCAACCAGTTCATCAGATCAAGGTGTGCAGTTAAATATCGACACCACTGCTGCGTTGTCGGACGATGTCACAGAATTGGTCATTCAATACTTGGAGCGGCTTAAATTGGATGATGACATCAAAGCAAAGGAAGTCATTTTGACGCTGTGGGATTTTGCTGGACAGCACCTATACTATGCGTCACATCCTGTCTTTCTTTCACCGCGAGCAGTGTACGTCTTGGTCTATAATCTTAGCAAAAGTCTAAGTGCCGAAGCTGAGCCCTGTGTCAGACAAGGTATTCATGATCTTCTCTTGGACAACCCAAACAGTGAGACCAACTTAGATAGTTTACTGGCCTGGTTAGTTTCTGTTCATAGTATTCGACGTCCTACAGAGAGTAAAACTGTGCAAGGAGCAGATCATCAAGGCACAAACTTGCCCTATCTTCGTCCACCAGTCTTCATTGTTGGTACAAATGCTGATCACCCTTTCGAAGACTACAAGAAAATGGAAAAGTGCATCGAGAGGGGTATCTCGGGCAATACTTACGAAGAGCACGTGATCAGGCCATTCTTTGCAGTCGATAACACTAAGTCGCAAAGCGATGACGGGATCCAGAAACTACAGAAGGAAATTATGGAGGTATTGAAACGAGAACCGTACATGGGTGAAGAGGTACCAATTAGGTACGTTTCGCAAAATAGTGTGTTCTATTCAAGGTAGTAATTCGGTACCCTTTTTGGATTGGACTGAAAAGCACGATTAAAAGAAAACTCAATATACGACGTCTACTTCATTTATGTCAGGTTTCGTTATTACAAAATTGGCTGTTTATGCATAACTGAAAATTGTACATATTTTGTTGTTAAATGAAATATCGTGGCGTTTCGTAATGTTTTTTTTTTTCTTTTTTTTTTTCTCATTACAGTTGAGGGGCGTAGACCTCTCGGAACAACTTGCAGCTCTTCCATAAGCAAGCTAGACGTAAAGTGAAATATTCAATTACCCTAATGCAAAAACCAAATACACCAAACCAACCCACTTTTTTTTACCTCCAATCCTTTTTCGGTCGTCTTTGCTTGTAACGGTTTCTTCGTTGTCCCTTTATTGTTCACAATAGGTGGTTCAATTTCGAAAAAGTTGTCGAGGCATTGGTTGCGAAGAAAACTTTCCACATGTCCCTGGACCAGCTTCTGACCGTCACCAGAAGAGTTTGCCAAATCGAGGACGATGCGGAGTTGACGGCCATGTTGAATTTCTATCATGATCTTGGTGTTATAGTCAAGCATGGCCATACAGTAGTGCTGCAGGCTCAGTGGCTTATCAACCTATTTAAACAACTGATAACTGTCCGGCCTTTCAATGAGGTGGTAAGTCTTTAAGGACTTTAAGATTCGAAGACGCGAGGAAGAATACGAGGTCTAGATTTTGCTCAATACAAAGTAAAACGCGCGTGAACCAGTGTCCTTCTTGGGAAAACCCTGACAGCCGTCGTCTTTTTATTACGAGTTTTAGCGATAATATCCTAGTGGCGGAAGCAAAAGTTGTCAGATGTTAGACATTTTATCATTTTGCGATCGGGAAAGGGCATAACCTCCTTCAATAAAGGTAATGGTGCTATCTTTTCTGCTAAAAAACGTCTTAAGCATTACGGGGTATCTAATACACAAATAAATCTTTAATTCAATAATAGTACTCGTAGTTGTTCTCGTCCTCGAATCTTAAGGTCTCTAATTGTGCGTTTGAGCGAGTTCCCTGTTTTTATCCCCAGGCCGATAAGAATCATTCTTAAACTGATGCATATCTCATACATCTGCATTTACTATCCGTTACGAAAATCTCTTTAAAAATGTTGAATACCTCCTTTAATGAGAACTTTATTAATGTTTTCCCTCGTTTTTATACTCCTAAGGTATTGGATGCGCATCATGTAGTCGCTTATCATTCAACAACTGTAACATTTATTGATATAAAGTCTTTTACCATAACCTGAACTATTTCGTTTACATGTGTTGGTCGACTGCTATTGTCTGTACGAACATAGACAACCTCTTGATAGCGCAAACATTTTTCTCAGCCCTTGCTCGCAAGTTTCTGGTGAATGTCTCTGGAATTAGGCATTCAGGCACTTCGGTGTTATTGCAAACGAAAACACAAATCGACCATACTAACAACAGGCCTCTGTGGGATTTATTCATATTCTGAAGATGTTCCTGAATTGTTCTAAATTTTAGGATCCTTTGTTTTCCAAATGTTGGCGCGAGCTGGAAGAAAACGGCATCCTTAGAATGGCTCTTGTAGATCACATTTTCACGGATTTCATTCAGAATGGCCTTTCGAAGCAGGACGTCCTTGATATGATGGAATTGTATGGCTTAATTGGCAAGTTCTCCTGCTTGTCTTCGAAGGACGATCAAGTGCAAGAATACTTCGTTCCAGCTCAGCTCAGATCATCTCCATCTGGTCTGTGCAAGATACGTCCCTCCGATAGTGATCCATGTCCACTATACATCCATTTCCCTGATGGATTTGTTCCACACGGGCTCTTTTCTCAGCTGCTCTCAAGGTGTATCAGTTGGTGCTCCCAACAAGGCCTCAAGCAGCCTCCACAGCTATTTAATAATGGTGCAAGGCTTTTCATTGGAATGCAGAGTTCTTTCGAGCTTTTCCTACTTTGCAGAAAGAGATTCATCAAGGTTGTGTTGAAGATGAGCCAGAGATGTCGTTCCATGACTGGGGCATTGACAGCTGCCTCAACGAAAATGGCCAATGAGGTTCGGGCCTTTGTTGAGGCTTCTTTAAAAGCCCTTACGTCTGAGCTGCCCTGGTTGCAGAGCCTCCAGTATGAACTGTGCGTCGCTTGCTGTCATTGCTTGCAAAATGGTGACCAGTGCACTAAACAAGAATCAACAAGTTGTTCTCAGGATGAGTGCCTGCATTTTCTCCGAGTACATCTCGGAGAAGAGCCAATTTGTACAAAGAGCTACAATGGTAAAGCGGTTAAGGTGAATGGGTTAGAGAAATGGTTCCAAGCTTACAAAGCTCAGGTAATCTTGTTTTCACTGATGCCACTTGTTTAACTGTCTAAAAGAGCAGTTTCTGCTTTATAATTATAGAAGCAGGCTGATATTACGCCTTCGCTAATGCTTATGTTACTCCTTTGTTTGATTTAAATTAGAATAACGAGGAGGCCTTGGAGTGCCCGCTTGTGGGCAACGAAATTTTAAAAGGTACTATGTTGATCTCCTTTTCCTTTGTCTTGATTTCCCCTTCCGTTTTGTTTGTTTGCTTGGGGCTTGTTTTGTTATATACCACGCTTGTTTTAAAACTCTCGTCAAAAAATGCAATTTAAAAGCTAATATACATGGTAGCTGTTGCTTCCTTGATCTGTACCACTAATAATTCACTCTTTCTAAGTCTAACAAAAGTGTCTGAATCACAGTCTTAATTTTACCTTGACTGGTTGAACCAGACAACTGATCAGAATTTATCTTGTTTCTGTTTTCCATTACCGTTAATTTCTACTGAAACTATCCTTGAAAACAGGCGGGTTTTTTCACCTTTTTCGGGTGATTGAAGGCGAGCGCGGAGCGCCAGAGACTCCCGTTGATAAACGGCGAAAAAAATGCGTTATTAGTTTCACGTCCCTCCCGTATTGCGAGACTATTGCGTGTCTGGTGCTCTACGTCCGCTTCGCGCTGGGTTTCGCTCGCCAGAAAAATGTAAACCGTCTGTTCTGCACGTTAACTGAACTTCACCCTGTTAATCACTCTAGAGTAGCCTTTTAAGCATTCATTAAGCGTTGCTTTTAACAGATTTTGCATCACTCAAGTGTGGCAAACCCTCAACTGACGACCTTCTACTTATTGCTTATGACCTTGGTTCCTCGTGGAAAATGTTTGGACGGGCGCTTAACCTAGACAAGCCACAGCTAGAACAAGTTGAAGAGGATGAGCGGAAACTGATCGAAAAGAGCTATGGTGTGTTATTGATTGTCGTTAGCAGATAGGATAATTTGCATGACTTGCCATTGGTATAAAGACATACAAAGCATCTCAGTTAAAGACACGCCTGAAATCCTTAAATAAACTTGCCGTCGGAGTTATTCTTAGTTTGTTATTTAGAGTGAAAGCTACAATTAACTTTCCATGTTGTGTCTTTTGCTATGTGCTCGTTCGTGTAAGACGTTTGCATTGTGTAATTTCTCCTAGTTTCGTGTGTAGAAATTAAAGTAACAATTAAAGTAACCTAATCCCACTTCAGGTATGCTAAAGAAATGGTTGGAGTCTTGTGGCGGCACTGCAACATATCAATGTCTTGCGGTAGCTTTCGAACAGCTGGGACGAACCGATCTTGCTGCAAAGTACTGTAACGTGCACAGCGATCCCCTTAAGGGTAAGTGCTGGGGTTGATTTAATAAAGGTTTTACAAGTGTAGCTGTTGTTGTCAGATTCTAAAACAATGGCTACACTTGTAAATTACACTTGGAAAAGCTTTATTGAATTGACCCCTGGACTCTTCGTTGATATCAAGTTCCGCTTATTAGTTAACATGATCATAGGATGGCAAGCTCGTCATTGTCAACTTCAACATTTTCAGAGAGCGATAACTCCTCTTATACATTGTATAGTTTTCCTTTCTTTCCTTTCACAGAAAAGAATAGCACCTTGTCTAGTTCATAGTCATGTATAGTTCACAAGTAGCACAACCCTTAAAGCTAACCTTCTCAACCATTACACGGTCGGGGTGAAGAAATAGCTCTTTTCTCGGCGGGTGAAACAACAGACTAAAAAGGCGTCTGTTCTCGCAGTTAGGACGTGTCAAAAGTCAGATAGCTGTAAGATTATTGTATAACTTGCTTATCATACTGAAAAGTGGAATTGTTTCCTATTTTTCGCAGATTATGTAGCTTTGCCTTCATCGATTTCAATTAAGGCTGGCACACCATCCAGTGAAGACCTTCTCGATATTGCTGGTGAATTTTGTGCTTCTTGGAAGATGTTCTGTCGAGCATTACACCTTACTGAAGTCACGCTTGCACAGATCGAGGAGAACGAGCGTGATATGGTCAGCAAATGCCACGGTACAGTTACTAAAAATACTATCATAAGCGGAAGCCCTAATAAGCTCTAATGTCGATGCGTTGTTTTAGTTGAGTAGAAAAGAAAAGTGGGTTGAAGGCGATTAATAAGTGGGTCAGTTAATGTCAACAAGGCGTCCTCAAACCCCACGAAAAAAGAAGGTGATGATGATAATGATGATGATGGTGATGGTGATGATGATGATGATGATGATGATAATGATGTAATGATAATAATAAGTAGCCTGAATTTCATTCGATTACTTCGAGTCGTTATTACTCCCTCAGTAACGTCTGAATCGACCAGCCGTTAATGCCGTCCAGTGACGTCACTACTCCTTGACGTTTGCTTTAATTCATGCAAAAAGTAGAACACGATTTTCAAGTGGCAAACCGAGAAATATCGTTTGGAAATGTCTGCATGATACAGAACTGCTTCATTTTTTTCGATTGTATTTCATTTTTAACGTTCAAACTATCAACTGCATGCAGTACAACTCTGAACCAGTTGTTCTCTTATTTACCATCTACGCGAGTTCGCTGTTTGACATCATGAAATCTCATCTGCCATCCGTTCACACCTACGCGGACGATACACAGCTATATATATCGTTTAATCCCGTTGATAAGACCAGCGAGGCTGATGCTGTGATTGCGATTGAGAACTGTATTCGTGACGTTCGCGCTTGGATGAGAGATGATAAGTTAATGCTAAATGACGATAAAACTGAGTTCCTGATCATTGGCACGGAACGACAGTTATCAAAGGTGTCCGTTGACAAGATCAAGATCGGCCAAGCTGAGGTATCGCCTGCTTCTTCAGTGCGCAATTTGGGCACCTGGTTCGATTCTCATCTGGACATGTCGACTCATGTGACTAAGACTTGTGCTAGCGCGTTTTATTATTTGTACAATATCCGGCACATTAGGAAGTATTTGTCTCGTGAGTCCACCGAGAGGCTTGTTCACGCGTTCATNTGCGCGTAGATTTTAAGATTCTCCTTGTTACATTCAAGATTCTGCACGGTGTTGCGCCTAGCTATCTTAAGGATCTTGTCTCTGTCTTACCGGTCTCACGTTACCAACTTCGCCGTAACAATAATGGTATATTGTCAGAAAGACCTCGGCTAAGAACGAAGAAGACCTTGGGAGATCGCGCGTTATCGATGGCTGCCCCCTTTTTATGGAACAGTCTTCCTCTGCCAATTAGACAGGAAACATCAATCGACTCTTTTAAACGCTCTGTTAAAACATATTTATTTAAAAAGGCTTTTAGTTAGATTATTTATTTATTTATTTATTTATTTATTTATTATTTTTATTTTTTATTTTTTTAATATTGTAATGTTAATATTGTAATATTGTAATTTTACCGGGTGATTTTACTGGTTTTAATTTAGTTATTGATAATATTGTAATGCGCTTTTGAGTATTTTTATAGAAAAAGCGCAATATAAGTATTGAATATTATTATTATTATTCTAAATTCTATAATCAAACTCGGTCGCAATCACGCGATGAAATAAACAGACACACGGAACACTTTATAGTTCAAAAACACAATGATTTGCTTTAATTGAAAAGAAGCTATTTGGTCCTTAACGAAGGAAAAAAACAAGGAGACAAGAAAGAAAAGCTAACAGAATCATTACACTTGACGGTAAATATAGCAAGAAGATCGAATTATAACATTAATCTCAGAAACTTCGCGAAAACAAAATCACCGGCCGCCGAAACCACAAAGCGGCTCTAAATAAAAAACCTACCGACTCTCCGCAATGATTCTTCATTCGCAGTTCAATTTAGCATTTCAGTTTCGAAGACAAGGACAATTTTGCTGTTTAAGATAAAGACTAAGCTTATCGAAATGTTTGAACTAAACGAAAGAATGCCAGGGATGCGATCCGCTGAATGTCAAGCGACAATCCTGCTAAAATTTTTCATAATTATACATAATTATGCGAATGTTTAGACAATCAACCAATCAAAATCACTACCCGGTTTTCGGGTAGTGAGTGACGTCACTGGACGGCATTAACGGCCGGTCGATTCAGACGTTGTTTAGAGGAGAAAACGACTCGAAGCAATCGGATGAATTTCAGGCTAAACAATAAGAAAAATTTATGGAAAAGAGAAACTATTTTTTTATGGTTTCAGTTAAAAACGACTAGCAGCACCAAATATTTTTACGTTAACTAAGGGCCTGTTTACAAGGAGGGTGGGTAACCCTGGTGCTAGGGTTGTCCGAGCAAGAGGGTTACCCTAGCACTCGCACATTGCGTCTGCTTCTTTTTTTTTTACACGACGTGTTTACAAGGCAGGTAGGGTTACCCTAGCAAGAAGGTTACCTTACCGGCCTTGTTAAGGCTTTGCTAGCGATAACTCGCCCACCCGAGACAACTTTCCTCCGTCATGCGTGACCAGTAACCTTGAAAAGTTGAACGGAGTTATCCAATTTCTGAGCTAAGTTATAAACATCTGAACAAATAAGGTAGTTTTGTATACGATGATAATGTTTTCACGTGTTTTCCATAGAGAACTTCAAGTTTTATTTCAGATCTTGGACGTTACAAAGAATGTCACTCATGACGAAACACGTCAGTAGAGGTGTAAAAGTTGACCGGGTCATAGAGTAACCCTACCTGGGAAATTTGCTTGTAAACCAGAGCTAACTTTAACCCACTCGCGAGGGTAATCCTAGCACAAGGGTAACCCTCTCTCCTTGTAAACAGGTTCTTAAAACACTTATTCTACCACTGCAGCTGTGTTACGAATGTGGACAGAAAAGTGGGGATCTGAGGCGACATATGAACGCTTGGCACAAGCACTGCAGCATCCAGCTGTTAAGCACTCAAATCTGGCTGCTAAGTATTGTCACTTGAACAAGAGTACTTCTTAAGGTGGGAAATGGTCTCCGAGAAGATATAACTGGAAAAAAATAATTTATGCATTCATTTTTGTATCAACGCTTAGCGCAGGCCCTGCACGTCCAGCTGTGAGGCACTCAAACCTAGCTGCTAAGTAGTGTGCATGAACAAGAGTACTTTTGAAGGAGGGAAGTGGTGTCCGAGAAAATTTAACTGGAAAAATGATTTGCCTATGCATTTTTGTATCAAGGCTTGGCAAAGGCACTTCAGCATCCATTTGCTGTGGGGCGCTCAGTTCTGGCTACTATGTATTGTCACCTGATCAAGAGTTCTTCTCAAGGTGGGAAATGCGGTGTCTGAGAAGATGTGACTGGAAAAGTGATGTGTATACGCATTTGTTTTTGTTTGTTTTTTTTTTTTACGAATACGACGTGCCATAAAAAAAGACAACAACAGCAGATGCAGGAACGGTGTATATTGTCATCCCAATACAGTGCAGATACCCGCGTTGTATAGCCTCCTACGCAGATCTTCTTAGGGCTTCGTCACGGAGGATTGCGTGAACGTTTGTGTGAAAGGCTATCTCTTATACCCAATTGCTTTGAATTTGTCTTTGCGGTCTAGTGATCGTCATATCGATCATTGCTGGATCCCAATCTCGGTCCGGAAGGGTTAATTGGCAGTTTCTTTGTACTGTGAATGGGATATCACTGTCTTGGACTAGTATCCTGGGTGGTTGTGGTGTGCGATTAAACTTTCATATGTTTCCTGCTACTGAGACGGAGAATGTAGACCGCAGTGTAAAGACAACGTTGTACCTTTCGATTAGGTCAGTTATGTAGTTTCGTGCTTCAGCAAGATAGATTTTTACTTCCTGAATCCGTATAGATCTTTGCCTAGGTGCTCTACTTTAAAAATAACAAGTAACGATTTTATAAAGCGTGAAAATATTAAAGATATTTTATTTTCAGTAATATTGAAATGACAATGTTCTTGTGAAAGCAAGGCAGACGATGTTTAATTTGCTGGCAAATTTCAAATAGGAAGGAGCCTAATACGTACGTATTCATCAATTACACGATTACATACTGCTGTTCTAGAGCAGTGTAGACCATTCTAAGTTACTGTAAAGCGCTGCTCCATTATAGATCAGTGGAATTATCTTACAGGTGATGAAAATGTATGAAATGATCAACAGGAATTACCAATTCTTAGCTTGCAAATTAATTTGTATTTAGCTCTTATTAAACGAGCGGGAGGTCTGTATGGGAGAATCTTGACCGAGGTCGCCAATACAGGCCGAACGCATTGAGGTCTGTACCAGCGACCGAGTTCAAGATTCAAGACCTACAGTCTCAGTCAAAATGGTTGGGACACTTTGGGGTCTCCTTGTCCCCTCAATGTTGGTGTACAAGATTTGGTGACCAAACCGCGATAAACAACTTTGAGAGGGACGAGGGGAGCACGAGAAGGGAAAAAACAGCGTTTGGTTAAAGTGTCCCAACTATTTTTGTCTGAGACTGTGTCAGGGAGGAATTTGAAGGCGTGTTGACAGATACAGAGGTTAATCTGTAGGTCGGTCACAAGCGACGGGCTTTTGGTTTGTTGGGTATCCATTGTGTTTCGCAAACGTTTCTATAGCAGTGAACTAAGTTATTTGGGCATAACAACATAACACAAAGAATGACCAGTTCGCAGAAATTTCTTGGGCAGAGTAGAGTATTGTAAAATAAAAGGAACTGAGTGTGCACTAAACCGTACACAAATAGCTTTCTAGTGGCCGATTGATAGCGTGACAATATAGCACGTGCATACTATCTACGTAAGATTCAGGGTTTTCATATACAGAGAGGCAATCGAATGTGCCATATTTCTGAAAAAAATGTGTGGAGAATAATAGAGAAGGCCTCTTTGCCAAGAAAGAGTGTAGGAACAAGGCTCAAAGGGACGCATTTCTAACTTAAGGGCAAGAGGCGAAAGACAGCTGAAAGAGCGATTAAGCGATTTCGAGAGAAAGGGGGAAACTTTACCTCAGTTTGGAGGAAAATGCAACAAGCCAGGATTATTCCCAAGACCTATCAGCGAGAACAGTATCCCGCTTTCTAAATTTCTAAAGATACTATTGACTACAAGCGCGTAAAAAGGGTGTCCAACAATAGTGTAACTGTTTGGTCCGACGCCAAAAAGTTTCTTAATGATATTCCAGGCTACTGCTGTGAAATCGACAACTTTTTATAAGTTGTTTACAACATATGTTAATTTGGCCTTGCGCCAAATGGTGACATCGGTTCTCATTCTTTACCCCAAATATACACCTTCCTGAATAACTCTAAAACAAACTACTGTGCCATAAATGTGGGACTTGAGGTACAAAACATGAATCATATAAAACGAGGACACTACCTATCCTTGAAACCTCCAAAAAAGCGTTCTACTCGACGTGTACACGGGTCACCGTACATTAATTCAATTAAGATATTTATAAGTTTCTTTCAGCGAACAATCGTGTCACCATGATCAAAGTTTTAATAACTTGTCTTACATGTATCAAGGCGATATAAACCTTGGCTATTTCAATTAAGTATGAAAGTACCTTATCCTTTTCTTTCTTAATCCATTATATATACCAGAGAGCTCTTAGAAAACGCCCTGGATAGTATGGTGACCCGTTATGGTGACCCGTCCAATCGTGTCTCCACCGGTACAAGATATTCGCGGCAAGATACACAGCCTGCGAAATAATGCGCGCAGTTTTGACTCATCCGTTGTTCACTCTTTAACCCTAATACGTAGAAAGCTTTTTTAATACCGTGGAATGTTGTAATTAAAGAAACAAAGACTTCTTTCCTCTATTAATTGTCTTCTCTCTTTCTATCCTTGAAATCTTTAATGTTTTTCCCGAAAAAATGGCTCCGAAACGTGCATATACCTGCCTAGCGATTTCCCGCCACTAGAGCCAACGAGGAGTCACATAACTAAAATTCCTCAAAAACACAGTCTCAGTCAAAATGGTTGGGACACTTTGGGGTCTCCTTGTCCCCTCAATGTTGGTGTACAAGATTTGGTGACCAAACCGCGATAAACAACTTTGAGAGGGACGAGGGGAGCACGAGAAGGGAAAAAACAGCGTTTGGTTAAAGTGTCCCAACTATTTTTGTCTGAGACTGTAGCTCGCTTAATTAATAAGAAGTTTATTATATGGCGAAACAAGAAAGCAAAGGAACAAAAATATAAATAATTATATTTGCTTACCTCTGCGGGCTCCAGCATTTCACTGGCTTTCTTCTGTCACTGGTCTCCAGTCCAAACAGGACAAAAATAACTGTTCAAAGTCCAGCTTTGTACAAACTTCGTGAATGAATGAAGACAAAATTTTTCATACAGGCTCAATGAAAAAGCTTGCGGTTGAAACAATTTATGAAAAGTGACCAAAAGTGCAACTGTAAGTAATGCTTGTTTGTGCCTCGATCCCTCAGCGATCGGTTCTCATTCAGCCTTGCGATCTTCGACTGATCACCACAGAAAACGTTGATGTTAAACGTGCAGCCTTCGAACTTATCAATCATGCGCTCCGGCAAAAATTACCTGAGGCTGGATTTTTTGGACAGTGAAGACATTTTGCTGTGTTGTAGTGGTGGTACTGACTTGGTTTTCTTCGGACTAAGCAGATGTACCTGGCAAACGATGCAGGATAGCATACAAAGATGCTGAATGGTGGCCGTCGAAGCTTTTCAAATTTTTGTGACCGCTTAGCTGTGCAACGAAGTTTGGCTGAACGTCTGCTTCGAGAAATCGTCCAACACTGGTCTTTCTAACGGAGTGATTAGAAACCTTCTTCTTATTTGTGTCATCGAGTTTGGCTGCAGCAAACGTGTCTTTGAGGAACTTGCCAGCTTCATTCTTTCCGCGAGGGGTCTGTCGAGATACCATACTTTGTCGTTTGGTTTTCGTCGGTGATTTATGGCGAGATAAAAAGGAGCATCTGGTTCTAGCATCGCTTCGGAACGTTGACTTCGAAAAGCTTTGTAAACTTCAACTGGGCATCTTGACTTGTTGTTGCTTGCGTGCGCTTTCGGTTCAAAGGCTCTTTGATGACCACCAGCTTGTCCGGCACGTGTTTTGCTGCCTCTTTCTGACTTCCACACAAGGTATTCGGAATCAGTTTCAGGATCACTAGCCAATCCTACATCTCCTCAGCACAGCTTACGGCTTTCATTTCGAGCCCTCTAGCCAAAATGGAGAGAAAGAAACCACCACAAACCCCGTTGTAATGATTTCGGATCCTGAACACCTAACTGGTTATTTTCAAATAGTGCATATTCTCCGGCTTCAGTGAGTTCTCTTGTGGCATTTGGACAGTTTCCTTTTCGTTGCCGAACCAGGTTCTTTCGTTTGGAGGCAAGTACCTCTCTGGACTTTGAGAACTCGTTATCCTTAAGAATGTTAATCAGACTTCCGTTTTCATGCAGTAGCGTTGAAAACTTCGCTGGAAGCCGCTTAAAGTACCCGGTTCGTACTCAGTGCCATTTTGTTTATGAACGGGGATTAAAAATATGGACAAAAGAAGGTCGAGCTCATTGGCAGGTATGTTTTCAATTGCTATAGTCTCTGTCATAGACTCACAAAATTTCTTCCATGCGTTTAAATCGCTCTTAGTCTTGTATTGAGTGTTTTGTTATTTCTGCTCCTGCAGAAATGTCTTAATTTCGACTTCATCTTTGGTCGTAGCATCCTCGGCAGGACTCAAATTTGCCAAAGTTTGCTCGTTTTCTTTACCTGCTTCCTCGTGAAGGTCCACTGATTCTTCTGCTTAGTATTATTAACAGGAAGAAGCCAATTTTTTCATATTCTTTGTTTGTAACTTTTTGAGGACAACTGTTACAACAAGATCGGTCTAGATGGGAAAATCTAGACCGAGGTCAAGATCTATTTCAGCCAGTAAAATTCTTGTTTGTTTCCAGTCCTTTTGATACATGGCCATATAATAATTACTTGTGTTTGGTTTTGGTTTCCTTCTATACCGACGTGTTAATATAAATATTGTTTTTAGTTAGTATTTTAAAACCCTATTATGTTTTTAAGTAGGATTATTTTACTACCCATTTTTGGTTTATTATTATTATTATTATTATTTATTAATGTTTGTTACTACTATTGTTATTATTCTTTTGTTTCTTTCGGAACTTATTACTAAAACAACAATAACTAAAGCAACAACACAATGTTTGGTCAAGGGTTTACTTTTAGTTATTATTTTTCAATTATTATTTTTCTGAGGTTTTCCGTTAAAAAAAATGTGTTACTCAAGGTGTGGAAACTAAGAGGATTAAAAAGGTCAACCATGTTTTAAAGGTGTTGTTTATTTGTTGTTATTTTCTCTCATCTA